AAATTGAAAAGAAAAGTATACATTTTTGATACCGTAAGCAGAACTGGCGAAGAAAAATTACTACACTCCGCACAGTGCGTCAAAGTGTGCAATTTTTTAAAGAAAAAACATGGTCATGATTTTGAGAAAATTCCGGGAAATGGGAAGAGTGAATGCAAGTTCCAATAAGAGCTTCTTAAAGCAGAGGCTTTGCCCTATAAAATGAAAAAAAAACTTTTCAATTCGACCAGTTTTCGCGAAGTTACGCTTATTTGAAATTCGCCAAATTTTGATGTAAATTTCTTGTTGCGTTAATTTTTTTGACCAGTGTATTTTATAACTCGACTCGGTCTTATACATATATTTTATAACTCGACTCTGGTGCGTTACGAAACTTTAACAACTCGACTCTGTCTTATACATATATTTTATAACTCGACTCTGTCTTATTCGACGACGATAATTGACTCAGGTGCGTTACTGAACTTTTAACTACTTAACAAAATCCTTTTATTTATTTATTAACCTACATTGTTCATAACTACGTCGTTATTGTTGATTTGCAGTATCACTCGAAAAGGACCCAAAAAATAGGGTCGAAACGTTGTGTAATAAATCGATTAAATAATTAGCCAGTTGGGTTGACTATTAGTTTCCCGCCTCATTTCTACTCATTACTGCTGACAATAAGCAAACTCTCCTTCGTTAATATCTTAAATAGTTCCGAATTAAAACAAATTTTTATAAAATTTATATATGTGGATTGTTACACACATTTTTTTTAAATAAAGAAAACATTACAGTCTATTTAAAGTTTTAAGTGATACAGAATAAAAAAGGAAGTATTTTTCAATGTGTTCTCTATTTCTTAATTATATTTAAGATGTAAATACTATAATGTAATTTGGATTTAAACTAAATAAGACATATTTGATAATTTGTGTGATTTTAGAACAAAAGAAGAGTGCAGAAGGAAACGAAATTTGATTAAACTGACTAAATTTCTTGTTGCGTTAATTTTTTGGACCAGTGTATTATATTACTGTGTTACTGTAATATTACATTGTAATATTTCTAAAGGCAGACATTTTACCGTTGCTGCAAGATTGCAACAGTGTTACAGCAACTTTTCGCAGCATTTAGGCAATATTGCAATCTTGCGATGAATTATTGCTACAATGTTACTGAAACCTTGCTGTGCTGTATGGGATAACACGTGCGCTTAATCGATATGTCATTTGTAGAGCCGAGATGTTCGGGCGATTTCTCGGCTCGCGTGCGGTGCACCGCTGCGTGCGAGTGAGTTGGATGCACGCTGAAGTGATATAACATTTCTCGAGGAACTCGATGCCCGCCGACCGATCTATCCGGATTGACAAGCGCGCGAATTGACGATCGGCTGACGTGTGATTTGCTGTATGCAAAGAGAGCTCGAAGAGAAGGGTTCTCATCTTCTTCCTTTTAATCCTTTTCTTCGAGCTCTTTTTGCATACAGCAAATCGCACGTCAGCCGATCGTCAATTCGGATAGATTGGTCGGCGGGCATCGGATCTCCTCGAGAAATATTGCTATCAAACTTCATCGTGCATCCGACTCACTCGCATGCAACGGTGCTCCGCGTGCGAGCCGAGGAATCGACCGAACATGCGGACCATTGTTCGGCCCTATGTGTATGACTTATCTGTAATTTCTTTATTCATTTTAATGACATGCAAATCATATGCTATCTTGTAATTGCTGCAATCGTTTCTTCATTATTAATCTTTTTGTATTGCTTATATAAGGTATTATTTAAAAAAGCTAATAAAAAGTTCATAAATAATACAAGCTTATAAACTAGATGCTATAAATAGCCTAAGACTGTTCACATGACTCAACTCAGCCAACCAGAAATCAGAAGTATGAAAGAAGAATCAATGTTATAACTGTTCAGTCATTCGCAAACGTTTAATATAACAACTTTAGCTTCTCGTGGCACTCTTAGTAAACAACCAAAACTTTTGTTATAATATAATATCTTTTATAATTTAATATCTTATTAAATAGTTCCGAATTAAAACATAAATTTTTATAAAATTTATATATATGGATTGTTACACGCATTTTTTATTAAAATAAAGAAAACATTACAGTCTATTTAAAGTTTTTAGTGATACAGAATAAAAAAGGAAGTATTCTTCAATGTGTTTTCTATTTCTTATTTACATTTAAGATGTAGGTACTATAATGTAATTTGGTTTTAAACTAAATAAATCATATTTGATAATTTGTGTGATTTAAGAACGCAATAAGAGTGAAGAAGGAAACGAAATTTGATTAAACTGGCTAATTTCGTCACGAAACAATGATCACTATTGTATTCCTGTCATTTATCCTTATTCTATTGATATGCAATTATTATGTGCATCACGGAAAGAATGGGCGGTTTATCAATCGTATACCAGGACCACCAGGGCTTCCGATACTTGGAAATTTGTTACAAAGTTTTGGTTCACGAGGTGAGTTCAACATTTCTTATATAGATAAATAAAACTTTGCTCTTGCACACAAATTTTTATATAGTATTTGCAAACAGTCCTCTCTGAAATATACATTGGAATTATATATTATTACATTAAAGTTGATTACGTTTAAGAATTACATATTCCAAAAAATGTTTTTAAGGGATAATATTAATTTTCCGATTAAAAAAACTTATTTAAGAAACAGTAAACTACGGTAAATAGTACTAAAGTTATAGTTAAATATATACATATTTTTAAATTCATATTAACTATATCACGTTACCTTAAGTTGACTTATTAGTAAATGTATTTTTATTAGAGAAACTATGGCATCTCCTGATTAGTTTATCGACCCAGTACTATCCCATTTTCAAATATTGGCAAATATTTTTTCCCATTGTATCTATCCGTCATCCAGATGATTTAGAGGTAATAAAACATAAAATATATTGTTTTTATTTTTAATATTATTAATACATATATTAGCCATAATGCGTTTATGTTTTTATTCTTTAAGGAACATTTATTTATAAAAAAATTGCTGATAAATGATAAATAATTAAATATTTAAAATACTCATAAAATCGTTTAATTTATAATTATTTACAACGTCTGCATTAAATAATGTTTAATTTTAGACAATATTAAGCAGCCCAAAACATATCGAAAAAAGTATTCTTTATGATGTTTATCATCCTTGGCTCAGCACTGGCCTTCTCACTAGTGGAGGTAACGTAATGATTTTAACCTAAATATGAATAATATACATATATAATAAATCAATGAAAAATAGAGCTAAGAGCAACAAGAAAATGTTAACGTCACAAAAATCTTTATTATTACAATATCTATAAAGAACAAACGTTTCGGTCTTTTTTAGACCATCATCAATGTTCTAAATAATAAAAAATATAAAACTTGCTTGTAATGTATAGTTTGTTGGAAATTACAGTAAACGGAATAAGTATTTATTTACATTAGGGGAAACCTCGCCGAAGACCTTGACCTTGACATATGTTGTCAAGGTCTATGTCCTAAGTGATCTTCAGAAGGTTTTAATCGAGGGAAGTTGTTTATTAAAAAATTATTAACCACAAAAGTTTAATAATTTTGCATGCAGTTCCCACGCAAGCATCCACGCGAAGCGAGGTTTAACCTGTCGGTTGTGTCTAATTTTTGGATGTGTCTAATTTTTTTATAATGGAGCCCCCCGCAGGGGGGGGCGAAACCCAATGATTCCACACATACACTTTTTCACGCGAAGCGAGGTTCAACCCACACCACTGTGTGTAATTCACGTACATTAACCTAACACCTCCACCACTAAAAATCGAAGTCGAACTTATGGAAAAATTTAGTGCTAATTTAGTGCTAATTTATTGCCTTAGTCCGGAATTTATTGCTCCAACCTTTTCACAAGAAATCTATGTTGAAAGTAGAGGTGCTGTCTTAACGCAAGAGTAAAGTGCCTTAAAAAAATTAGTTGCTCCGACCGTTGTGGTCTTAAAATCTTTCTTATATTTATTGCTCTATGGATATGAAGTGTCGAATTTATTGCTTAATGTTTAACCGTAAAAACACGTATTTTTAGAGTGGCGGTGCTAGCTTAACGCAAGAGTAAAGTGCCTTTAAAAAATTAGTTGCTTCGACCGTTGTGGTCTTAAAAAGTTTCTTATATTTATTGCTCTAATTATCTTATACATATCCTTATACACTAATGTGAAAAAGTATGTTCCCGGTGTATGCCGCCACTATAAAAACGGAAGTTTCATTGTTTAAACGTTAAGCAATAAATTCGACACTACATATCCTTCGAGCAATAAATATAAGAAACTTCTTAGGACTACAACGGTCGGAGCAATTAATTTTTTTAAGGCACTTTACTCTTGCGTTAAGCCGGCACCCCCACTTTCAACATGGATTTCTTGTGAATGTGTTGGAGCAATAAATTCCGGACTAGGGCAATAAATTAGTGGTAAATTAGCCTAAATTTTTCTTTAAGTCTGACTTCGATTTTTAGTGGTGGGGGTGTTAGGTTAATGTACGTTACATAGAATACACGTAAATATCTTAAGGTAGCGCTTATGTTATTTTATACCTCTCATGACTTTGTTTACCTTTGGAATCTACTGTCTATGCTCTTTAGTCGTATTGTATTCTTCACGAGTGTATCATGCGTCTGTACGAATTTTTAGTTATTTGCGACGATGACGTTGCACTTGTCGAAGTTTTGATTGCGAGAGGTATTTTTATGCGTGAAATTAAATGTCCGAAATGTGAGTCAACAGTAAAACTTACGCCAAATTTGTCTAAATTGCAATATCATTGCCACGCAACATATTAAAAAGTACGGTAATTATGCATAAAAGCGACTTCCTCTCCGATTTGTTTTATTTTTAAATATGTTGTTGGGGATGTCTTCCCGAATCATTTCATATATATACACTGGTCAAAAAAATTAACGCAACAAGAAATTTACATCAAAATTTGGCGAATTTCAAATAAGCGTAACTTCGCGAAAACTGGTCGAATTGAAAAGTTTTTTTTTTTCATTTTATAGGGCAAAGTCTCTGCTTTAAGAAGCTCTTATTGGAATTTGCATTCACTCTTCCCATTTCCCGGAACTTTCTCAAAATCATGACCATGTTTCTTCTCTAAAAAATTGCACACTTTGACGCACTGTGCGGAGTGTAGTAATTTTTCTTCGCCAGTTCTGCTTACGGTATCAAAAAGTGTACACTTTTCTCTTCAATTTAAAAAAAAACGAAGTTCCTACGATTTTTTTCGCCAAATCATCAGCTCATTGAAATAACCCTTGTGTTTTCGACATTTACCGTACGAATATCTCCGTTAAAATCATCGTAGCAAGATCGTTTTTGTTTTAAATTAAGCTTGCACTCTCAGCTTT